TATTTAATATGTATATATATATATATATATTCATGTATATTATTATCACAAAAATACATGAATACGATTATATACATGGTGTCCTTTTGCCGTCTCTTGCAAAAATTTCACTGTGCATGTGAAAATGTCTAATTCCACACATGAAGTAATTTCACATGTGAAATATACCAACCTGCATACATAATTTCACATGTGAAATTCTCATAAAGTTATATGCATTGTATCTCGGCTTTTATGGGAATCAACCTTTATGAGGCAAGCACGACTCGATTCAATTTACATGGTTGCCCCCCCGGGGGACTTGAGGCATTTGCACACGATACGATTACGAATTGTATGAAAATTACTGCTGACGCCATGTACAATTCCTCTTCATTTTAATACTTCGTAGCGAAGTGTTTTACGTATGTCTATTCGATTATACACGCCAGATAAAGAGTCGTATACGACTAACCGTAGCCCCCTCCCCCACACCCCTCGTATTAACAGGATCTATAATATATAGATACAAGCTGGCACCGTATTTCCACACAGAGCTTCCTCTCATCAAAAGTATACAGTAGTTTAGTAAAGCACTTCGTCTCTTATATCTTGCAGTATTTTGGAAATAGCTCGTCGAAAATGTGGAAAACGAATCGAGTAGAGAAAAGGATTGACTGAAGAGTTGACTATTACGATGATAAACTGCAAATCCCTCATAATGTGTATCGCAGTACAACTGCAAGTGTGACACCAGTTCATTGTGTAGATTATCAATAAAGCTGGAATGTAACAAGCTAAAAATATTAGCGATACAATGATGTATGTTTTTGTTACCAAGATGTTGTACTTGTTGCTTGTCTGCTCATTGTATGTTGCTACGTTGGTTTTACAAACGTCATGAGCAGTCCCAAGTTGGAGAAAGGCCGAATCCTTTTCGGGTGTATTTTCTTGGTTCGTATCAATTCTCTCATCACCATTAGACTCTTTCTTGATTTTGCGAAAGCAATGATCATCCCCAAGTTGAGGTAAGGCTGAATTTTGGCCACTTTCTTCGATTTGGTTGGGTGAATCTTTTTCGTGAACATTTTCTTCATTGGGGTCGAAACCAGCATTGGATTCGCTGTTGTTAACGCCTTTATCGTTTTCTATCGATGAATTAGTTATGTTGTCAGCCTCGATTTCATAGCTACTGCTATGTCCAAGTTCAGATGAACATGATTCCTTTCCGTTAATATTTTCTTCAATTTGACTGCCTCCTCTTTTCATATTGGATTCATTGTTGGTAACGCCTCTTTGCTTGTCCTGCAAATAAGTAGTTACATTTTCTTTGACTTTGACAACATAAGGCTTGCTTAGAGGAGATACGTTTTCCAGAATTGGATTTGTATTACCAATGACGGTTGACTTTTTCATTCTTTTCTCAACCTTCTTTAATTTTCTTAGAATTTTAACATAGCAAAACGTTGTCACACCCAGTGTCCAAAAAACCGCGATATTTATAAAAACAAAGGTATAAAACACGTAATTTGTGAGAATGTATACTGTTGACAAGCCTACAGCAACCAACCATACTATGACGGAAACCAGTACAAATCGTCTCACTTTGAAGTACAATTTATACTTAAAGCTGTACGATATGGACATGTATCGTTCCAAAGCCAGCAAGGATATGCTTAGCACTGAGGCGGTGCATGAAATAAAGTACGAGAGATGTATTGCACGAATTTCGACTACAGTTATCTCTCGCCCAAGACCTTCTTTGATATGTAAATACACTGACAAGGGTTCCGTGATGCAGCCAACTATCAAATCAGCAAACGCTAAATTTGCCACGACTATGTTGAAAGGTGTACGTAGCCGATGGTAGGGATCAATGTAAACAGCCATGCATATTAATAAATTGCCAGGTACGGTTATAAGACATAGCACACCTGAGATGGAGGCTGTTATATACGATAAGATCGGCAATGGACTGATTGCACCACATTGAAACATAGTGTGTCCGAGTGGAACGATAGAATATCTATTAGCTTCACTTTCACAAATGAGCTGTAAGTTTTTCGAGTTTTTAAATACGAATTGGATGATTTTTAAGTTTGTAAATGCTTTCAAGTTTCGTCAACTCTGCCAAAGGATGCCGACACGACCACACAATACTTTGCCCTGGTCAGATAATAATTGCACTGGTGTTATCCTTATTTTCCACTCCTTGAGAAAGAAAAGGGGATGTCAATATAAATTTTGACAACACATTCTTAAGTACGAATTGCATTAGGGAGCGCGGTCATGCATTAATATATATATATATATATATATATATATATATATATATATATATATATATATATATATATATATATATATATATATATATATATATATATATATATATATATATATATATATATACCGGGTGGGGCAACAAAAAGTACGACTGTTTGATTTACTATGACTCAAAAACTAAAAGAGCTATTGCAATTAAATAAA